TTTTTTTTATAGTAATCACTATTCAGTATATTATTATACTACACATAGCTCGTAGAGTAGTAACTAACGTGTGAAAGTGTCTAATGCGTCAATAGACAATAATGTATGCTTTATTTTTGTACCTACTGCAGTTATTAAAGTTGATGTTAATACTTATAAAATAATATAATATTAACATTTTTTAAGTGTTATTCTTATCTATATAATAATATATATAGTCTTCGTGGTCTTGTCATATTATGTCATGATTTTCCTTCGCCATTATTATCGATGATAAAAAAATATATATAATTTATAGTGTTGTGATAAAGATAAACCGCGGATATGGGAGACTCGGTGCTCGTTAGCCGGCGCTCGGTGGCTTGCAGCTGCACCTTGTCTCAATAGTCAATAGTCAAATAGTCAATACTCTAAACTATTATATCTTTGAAAAAAAAGATGCACTTGTCTATTTATTTTTCGTCACTGGCATCAGTCATTAATCATTAATTTATGTTGTTATTTCAATTTTACTACTTCAGTACTATTCGTTCATAACGTTTATATTGCTATGGGAACGTAAATTCCTCCTACTTCTATAGTACTTTTGTCAAATACACGTACCTATTTTATTGCTTGTCGTTTGTGATCAAGTACAGTATCTGTTTAAATATTGGTAGGTATAAAATAATATACAATTACTATGACTGGTTACTTTTCATGCCTCAAGTCAAAATGAAACGAAATCTTAAAAGCATATTTAAGTATTTAATTTTTGTTGTGATCACTGCACTTGTGACAACTGTGATTTTTAAATTGTCTAAACAATTTAATCAATATGAAAATAATGAATCTATACACGGGAAGATGGATAATACCAACAAACAGTTATATTATGTAAATAAAAAACATGATAATAAGATTGACTGGCATGATTGGGAATTTATTAATTTAGAGAAACAACGAACTGGTAATATATTTATTAGTGAAATGAATTTTATTTTATTGTATTGTATTGATATTAGAAAATATAATTATATTTAGGTATTGGGGAACAAGGAGTTAGCGCTTCCCTTTCATCACTCAATCGGCATAAATATGATGAATTGTATAAAGTAAATGGATTTAATGCTTTGTTAAGCGACAGCATATCTGTTAATCGCTCAATACCAGATATACGGCACAAATTGTAATTTTTTACCAGAGTTTAAATATTATTTCATATTTTAATTATGTCCAGTGGCGCACAGAAGAATTTTGAAAGCTCTTGTTGCATACAAAATTATTGCTATCCACTCCTTTTTTTTTATATGTAAAAAAACATTCCCACTGCTCTTGAATAATGGCAACATTTGTATTCACATAAGTAGTCCACAAAATCAAATTAATTTAATATGCTTTTTAAACTTTTATATGGCTTCAGTTATTTATACCCATTCTCTTTTAAGGGTACATGCAGTTGCTTTACTTGACAATCTGTCTGGGCGCCAACTGCCCATGTCATAATTTTAATTTGTTTTTCAAAGGTTGAAATATTTGTTTCTATTTTGATTTACAGGTGTCATTTAAAAAAATATAGTAATAAATTACCCACAGTTAGTGTAATTGTTCCTTTTCATAATGAACATTTCTCAACACTTCTTAGAACCGTGTATAGTGTTTTAAATCGTTCACCTAAAATCTTACTTAAAGAAATAATCTTAGTGGATGATTCAAGTACAAAAAGTATGTAATATGTATACTTAATTTGTTTTATTCTTTTATCACTGAAATTAAATTCTTCGACTTATTGATAAATGAGTTTTTAACAGTAATAATTTACAATCTTGCTAATTTATATTAATTAACTAATTGTTAATTACCTATCCCCTACCCAGGGCCGTATTTAGGGGGGAGCAACAGGGTACTGTTGCCCTGGGCGGCTGAGTAGGAGAGGTCGGCTAATTTTTTTGTAATTTAAATTTGTATTTTGTATAATGATTAATGAGGCGTATTTTTTTTGTTGCCCCTTGGTGTCCAATTCCTAAATACGGCCCTGCCCCTACCTCTTAATCAAATAATTTAATAAAATATAATTTTGATGTTTTCTAGCTAGTTTAAAGAGACCATTAGATAATTTTTTATCTAAAAACTTGGCTGATACTGTTCAAATAATACGCTTGAAAAAAAGACAAGGTTTAATTAGAGCTCGTTTAGCTGGAGCTAGAAAAGCTACTAGTGAAATTTTACTTTTTTTAGATTCCCATACAGAAGCAAATGTTAACTGGTTACCTCCACTTTTAGGTATGATATTTTTTATGCATATTAAATATTGTATGTACAATTTACCTTCATACAATTTTCCTTTGTTGTGTTAAATATAATATGGATAAAATGTAGTACTGCTTGTTCATAATGTAATTTAATTTATAGAACCTATTACTGAAGATTATCGAACATGTGTGTGTCCATTCATTGATGTCATTGCTTTTGAAACCTTTGAATATAGAGCACAAGATGAAGGTGCTCGGGGTGCATTTGATTGGGAATTTTTTTATAAAAGGTTGCCACTCTTACCTGAAGATCTATTGTATCCTACCAAACCATTTCGGTAATATTTATATAAATCGACAAATTTTTTTTAACATAATTTTTTATTGAGGCTGTCTGTTACATGCATAGAACAATAAGCTTAAATGATAATTAATTACAAGAAGTGCAGAGTGTAGATACCTTACAATGAAGGTACTTTTTCATTAAATAATAAACAATATAATTAATATTTTATACAGAGTGATACCACTAAGCATGCTTACTTCCATTTTATACTTTAATTAAGTATACAGTGTGATCATGCTATTAGGCACCACTGAATATCTCTTCTGAGTAACCTTGTATTGAAATAGGGTTTTCCAGAGGTGATAAGAAGTACTTAAATACATATTTTCAGACAAATTTCAAATTTTTAACTCTCAGTATGTGTATGCACAATACAACTTACTTTTTTTAAATGACAACTAAAATTTTTTCCTGTAGATTTTGGTTAAGTATTATTTTTTTTTTAATCATTTATTGTTGGTTTAAAAAGTTTTTCTATTTTTAGAACTGACCAAGTTAGAGTAAGTCAAAAATTGGATTTATGCATAATTCATGTGTATTAATACAGTTGAAAAAATATCATACACTAAAAATAATGTTTAATTATTTCACCCTTATTTTATTATTTTTAGTGGTTATAAATGAAAATAATATTAAACACGAATTATGCATAAATCCAAATTTTGACTTACTCTAACTTGGTCAGTTTTAAAAATAGAAAAAAATCTTTTAAACAATAAAATATGTTTAAAAAAAAAAACCTAAATTTGCAGAAAAAAATTTAGATTGCCATTTAAAAAAAAGTAAGTTGTATTGTGCATATGCGTTGAGAGAGCYACAAAATTTTAATTGGTCTGAAAATATGTATTTAAGTTTTTCCTATCAACTCTGAACCACCCTATTTAAATACAAGGTTACTCAGATGAGATATTCAGTAGTACCTAATATCGTGAACACACTGTTTACTCAAAATTCAAAATTTGTAATTTAAAAGTACATGATATACATAAATACCATTTTATAAAAAACTTCATTTTTTATGCTATTTAAGGAGTGTTTTGTGGTATTTCAAACACTTTTAAAATGAGAAGAATATTATATATTATAGTCCTCTTAAGCAATATTCTTAGTGCATTGAGTTAAAAACAACTCAGAAACTACTTGTTAAAATTTTGATTTAATACATCAAAGTTTAAAATATAACCTTTTTCTTGTTGATTTATATATAAAAAGGGTAGGTAAGGTAGGTAAGGTTATAAAAAAAAAAAATAATAAGCTGGAATTGCCTCAGGACCAGGGGCGCCAAAATATATAATTGTATTTGTCATTCTAAATACATTATGATAATTGTATTAGACATTACGGTCAATTGTGAACTAAAAGTCGATAATATTACATAAAAAACTTTATTTGGTGTATGGTAGGTAATTATAAAAATTAGGTGGTTTTCAAAATTGTATGTGGAGGTGTCTCATTTCATAGGTACAATTTTGGACTTTGGCTTTACTGTTCAGAACACCGGAAAAAGATTAAAATACAATAATAAAACCTATTTAATATTGTAAACATTCTTGAATACTAGTTGATTTGCTAAACTATTGTCTGTAAACAATTCATCACACTTAACCAATAAACAATATATTTTACATTTAACATAAATTTACTATTGGTAGTTGATTAATATAATGGATAGTAAAATTTTCAAAATTACTATTTTTATTTCATTGTCTATCATTGAGTTCCATTGTTTATATTTTTACCTATTTTATTTTGATGGATTTAAATTTAACGAATTAAAAAATGTAATAAATAAATAAATAAGTAAACATTTTCTATTTTTCTAAAACTATAAGGAAAAAAGTTTCTAGACTCCTAAGTTTTGTTATAGAGTTTAAATATGAATTTAAAAATATGATTTTAACTTTTTTAAAGTATACATATAAATTCTAAATATCAACATTTGAATAAAATTATAATTAAAGAACAAAACGTCCATGAGCATGCCTGATGAATTACTCTCTCTCTCTCTCTCACTGTATATATATATATATATATATATATATAAATTAAATTGTTTATAAATCATAGACTAACTTAGTTTTATGTTTCTACATAATTTATAACATGATATGCCATATTAATATTACTAATGTTTTTCTGTTCGTTTTATGTTAAATTTGTATTTCATAATATATATTTAATAGTTCCATTTTATTTTTTTAAAGGAGTCCTGTAATGGCAGGTGGTTTATTTGCTATATCAGCTAAATGGTTTTGGGAACTTGGAGGTTATGACCCTGGTCTAGACATATGGGGTGGAGAACAGTATGAATTATCATTTAAAATATGGCAATGTGGTGGTACTATTTTAGATGCACCTTGTTCAAGGGTAGGCCATATCTACAGAAAGTTTGCACCATTCCCGAATCCTGGAATTGGTGATTTTGTTGGAAAGGTGAATACACTATTGCTATGTTATTTAATTATATATTGTTTAACAAAATTTGTAAACTATTGAAAATTATTTTAATCAGTATAAAGGGAACTATGTTATACTCAATATTATACTTTAATTAAAATTTTTTTTGTTTTGTTCATCCAAGAAAGTTATTACTTCTAAATCTAATTTTTTTTTTTTCGAATATATTATTATTATATTTTAAGTAATTTACAATTTATACAACATTAAAATTTAATTAAAGAAAAAAATAATATGTTATTCATGGTTTCAATACTWTATAAATAATTATAATTTTTTAATAAAAATTTAAAACATTGTTCCAGAATTATCGCCGTGTAGCAGAAGTATGGATGGATGAGTATGCTGAATATTTGTATCTCCGTAGACCACATTACAGGAATATTAATACTGGAGATCTAACTAAACAAAAAAAAATAAGAAAAAATCTTAAATGTAAACCATTTAAATGGTTCATGCATAAAGTTGCATTTGATTTAGTCGAAAAATATCCGCCTATTGAGCCACCAAATGTGTTCAAAGGAAAGGTATTTAAAAATTTCCATAAAAATAACTATTTTTAGGTTAAAATAATGAATAATTTATTGTTTAATATTCTAATATAAACTAATTTTTTGTAGGTATAGCAAAAAAATTTGGATGCTTTCATATTTACATTCAAAAATCAATCATATTTTATATTTATTGTAATGTTTTTTAATTGTTCTTATATTTCAGTGTATATTTCAGTATAAATATAATATACCTATTCTATAAAGTAACTTTAGATCTACTTTTATTTATTATTTTAGATAAGAACTTTCACTGCTCCAGAACTATGTTTAGATGCTACATCAGAAAATCTGCTCAATATAAAAGAATGTACTGATAATCATGATAAAAATCAAGTAATAGTTAAAAGATTTAGTGATTAGTGGTACTAAGTTTTAAATGTTGTAACTTTTTTTTAGAATTTTATATTAAGTTGGCGGAATGACATTAAATCAAGAAATAATATGTGTTTGGATATAAGTGACTCATCATTTAAAGCAAAAATTAGCCTTTATGGATGCCATAATGGTGGAGGAAACCAACTGTGGCATTATGATCATGTATATTTACTGATTTAATTGTAAAATTATTTTTGTAATCAATTATCATACAATATTTCAGGGTAAAATGAAACTTGTTCAGGGAAAAAATCCTAGATGTATGGAACATGACATTAGTACCAGAAAAGTTTATGTAACCAAATGCAAGCRAAACAATGAAGATCAAAAATGGATAATAGAAAATTTTAATTCCAAATCAACTAACTGGTCATTAGCAAATTAAGGAACAATAAATATTATTTTAGGATTTAAGTAATACATTATTTGAACAAATTATTTACTTGCTAAAACTTATGTGATAAGTATTAATTATTAWAGGTACTTAATACATATTATTCTACTTATTAACTTAAGTGATAAAATAAATAATTATCATTTTTTTAGTTGTTTTAAATAATGTTAATGAATATAAATTATAATGCAATATCAGGATGCTCATATGATACAAATTTAATATTATAAAAACTTAAAAATAAATAACTCCATTGAAAAATTACAATTTAATACCAATGCAAAAAGAATCAAATAATAACAGATAACAAAAAAATTTGAATCCTAAAAAACTATTGAACAAAAAATATGCCTAACTTATTGACATTACAAATATTATTATGTTATATAGAATATACATTAGTGAAATTATTAACAAACATAGAAAATATCTATTTTTTTACACTTAATGCTTATATATCTCAACCTTAAATTACATTGGCTTAGCTGAAATTCAAAAAATGTTATGACTATCCCCCAGACCATAACAAGCCTATGTCAATTAATTAATATAAATAAATTTGAAAATGAAACTAATTAATTGTTTCATTCTGCAATACCATACAAACATCAATTAGTTTATAAAGCATTGATTATTGTACCAAAAATTGTTTGTTATATCATTAACATTTTGTCTGTGATATTATTATTTTGAATTTTAAATTATATTTTGTTACCAATTTACATTCTTTAGTCTTAAAACTAAAATAAACTTTTATATTACAGTCTGAAATTGTATAAAGCAATATTTTAAAATTATTTAATTAAAAATATTTTTGATTTGGCTGATTGTAAATTAAACGTTAAAATAATAAATATACTACTTAATTATATTAATTGTTTAATAATTCAATATACATGTAAAATGGAAGTAGGCATAGCAAAACCTATTTAACAGGTTGACTGCCATGTGACTACTATTGATAACTCAATATGTATTATTGGTTAGCCAAGCATATTTTTCAATGTCATTCTAAATTTTAATTACTATTATATTTGAAAAGAATATGTTATACATCGAAAAAAAAATGAAATAATTCTCGCTACATTACCGCGCTATTTCAGTGCATTATTTAGCGCCATGTAAAACCATATTAATTTATGCTGGCCGGTGGTTATGTAGTGTATTAGTGATAATCAACTATGGGCGCTGGAGGTCAGATACATATAATTTCAGAATTACAGACAAATGTTAATATTTACTGACACCTTTGACCTCCAATGATAATAGTTTCTCTTGTAAGTTATAACTTAATATAAAAAATATTAATTCCAGGTGATTATGATGTTAGTTTATTAGTGGTGAGGTGAAATTTTAATCATACATTCTAATTAATCATTAATCATTTATCTTATTTTGTGTTGGCACTACAATATAAATTCATAAATACAGCTTTTCCACTGAAACATACTTTAAACATATTCATTGATACTACTCAATGTATCACAAAATTGAGTAAATATGAAAAGATGATCAAGAAGTTAAATTATAACAATAAGTATTCTTTCAGAATGTGACCTATTGTATTGACTATTTGTTTAAAATTTTTAGTCAAATTAAAAATCATAAAATTATGTTGTTTTGTTACAACTTAATATTTTATTATAATACAACCATAAAATAATACATGATCACATTTAATAAAGCCAAAATCAGTTAAAAAAAAAATTTTTGATTATTGAATACACTCGTCTATTATAATATAATATGCCAAATTTATTCAAAAAATGTATCTCACCTTTAATAGATTGGTACCCACATAGCTGTAGTGTGCTCTAGTTGCTTATATATAATATAGATTAGAGAACACCAAATRGTAGACCGCGAACACTTGTTTATGGGCCCTTATCTTGAGTTATCCGTTATTTTAGTAATTTTTAAGTTTTTAAAATTTTTATAATATACATAAGTGTGTTATATAAAATTTATATTACGACAACAGAATTATTTAAGTAATGGAAAATAATCTGTATTTCTGTATTTATAAATGGGGAAGTCAATGTTGGAATGTTAATTAATAATTATAAATCAGTTAATGTATGTAAAAGTTAATAAAACTGTTAAGGACTGCAGCCAGTTTGTTAAGTTTCAAAATGAACCTCCATAGAAATTGGTTGGTGACCTCTGATATAGCAGATTGTAGGTCCCATTCTAAACAAGATTTTCACTCAATAAGTTAAATACTAAACATTTGCTAAAACATATTTAATAATAAATTCATATTATGATCAGACCTGCTTCAATGTTTAAGTTTGATAAGTATCACTGTTACATATCTTTTCTATTTCTACATTTTGCATAGAACATATTGAATAAGAGCGTTCATACATTATCCACAGTGGCGTGGCAAACTTTATTAAGTTATGAGGCACAGTTATATTGTTAGACCCACCACCCATCACAAAAAAACATTAAAAAAATTTTTTAAGATAAAATATATTTATCCATTTAAATAATAATGCTTTTTTTAACACATCAGATGATCTTTGAGATCTTTTTAATACATGATCACATTTAATAAAGCCAAAATCAGTTTAAAAAAAAATTTTTGATTATTGAATACACTCGTCTATTATAATATAATATGCCAAATTTATTCAAAAAATGTATCTCACCTTTAATAGATTGGTACCCACATAGCTGTAGTGTGCTCTAGTTGCTTATATATAATATAGATTAGAGAACACCAAATRGTAGACCGCGAACACTTGTTTATGGGCCCTTATCTTGAGTTATCCGTTATTTTAGTAATTTTTAAGTTTTTAAAATTTTTATAATATACATAAGTGTGTTATATAAAATTTATATTACGACAACAGAATTATTTAAGTAATGGAAAATAATCTGTATTTCTGTATTTATAAATGGGGAAGTCAATGTTGGAATGTTAATTAATAATTATAAATCAGTTAATGTATGTAAAAGTTAATAAAACTGTTAAGGACTGCAGCCAGTTTGTTAAGTTTCAAAATGAACCTCCATAGAAATTGGTTGGTGACCTCTGATATAGCAGATTGTAGGTCCCATTCTAAACAAGATTTTCACTCAATAAGTTAAATACTAAACATTTGCTAAAACATATTTAATAATAAATTCATATTATGATCAGACCTGCTTCAATGTTTAAGTTTGATAAGTATCACTGTTACATATCTTTTCTATTTCTACATTTTGCATAGAACATATTGAATAAGAGCGTTCATACATTATCCACAGTGGCGTGGCAAACTTTATTAAGTTATGAGGCACAGTTATATTGTTAGACCCACCACCCATCACAAAAAAACATTAAAAAAATTTTTTAAGATAAAATATATTTATCCATTTAAATAATAATGCTTTTTTTAACACATCAGATGATCTTTGAGGACACCCACCACCACCCCTCAAACTGTGGCACGTGCCTCAAATATAGTCCTTCGTCACGCCACTGTACATCCATATATTGCAGATATTATTTATTTATGATTTTTTAACATGATGTAATGGTATAATGGAAGCAAATTCTTGGATTATATTTATCTATTTATTTATTCATTATTTAAAAAAATTACATAGTATAGTATATTGTATATTTAATAATTTGAGAAAAATTACAAAAATTACAAATATTAAGATATAATGATATAAATAATGAACAGACAATAATTAAATGCTAAGTACTAAGAATTAGTAGGTCCTCATTGGCCAGTTTCATCATATGGATAATAGGATGATTTGTTAAAGAGTTACGCTGGCTAAAAGGAATTTGGAAAGGGAAGAGTATCTGGAATAGAAACTTGGAACTCTGAAATTAAGTTTATATAGGAGGGCAGGGGAATCGACTTATTATTATATTCATATATTGGTATTATTTTAGAGCTTTAGCTTCCAATATAAAAGTCTAACAGTAAGACCATTCGTCTGAGAAATATCAAATATTTAGTTTTTTAAATTAAATTTTACAATAAGTTAACTCAAATATTTTATGAATGTGGATCAGATTGACTTTTGTTTCAAAGAAACAGAAGTAATTTACAAATAGTTCTGTCAGGAATCTAAATTTTGAAATATGTGAACAATTTTGTTGATAATTAATTAATAAAATAAAACCAATAACCATTCCTTCAATAGGTATTGACTATTTTCTTGTCCATAATTTAGTTATAGGTGGTTATAGGTCAAATCCAAATTAAAAATTTCCCTTAATATTCATAGTTCAAAACAAATAATCAGAAATACATTTATCTAGACTTAATAATAAATACATTTTAATACTACAGTTGAATAAATAAATAATCTTATAACAGTTCTATTATGTCCTATTCAAAATAAAATTCATACAAGCCAATTAAAAAAAAATAGGAACCAAATTATTTTTATTTTTTAATTTAATATAGAATCATAGTTGATTGCACAATATTAAAATGCGTTTAGAAACTGGGTATTGCTATGCTCGTGATGCTCGCAACGTGAGCCTAACTTTTTTAACTTGTTTAATGATGTACCTACATGGCTACATGAACTTTTACCTTTCATCATATTATTTATTATTTTCTCTCTGATGGCTTAATTCTTCTTATCAAAAGTATTTTTTTCATATTTTATTTATTATCTATAAGTATTATGGTTCCCACTCGTAAACAAACAAGTAGACAGTATCAACTACGGTATCAGTAATTCAGTTTATTATCATGTTTATAAAAAAAAAATTGTTTTGTTAGTTATTCAAGTATTCAACTCTACTTAATACTTATTCTACTTATTTAATAATTTATAAAGTTGAATCCGAAATCGTAGTTGCATATTTTCTTTAGGTTTTCTATATTGTAAGGACGATCGTTATTTATTTGATTAAGTGTGAAAATAATATTTCTACATTGCATTTTTCCTGTTTAGTAAATGTAATTTAAAAAAATACCTATAATTTTACTTTATACTTGTTATATTTGAATTATATGTAACTGATTAATATAGTTACAGGTAAGATAATATCATGTATTTGTGTCACTCTTGATTTTGATATTTCAGTATGTTTAAAATTTAAATAGTGTAAATATTATGAGTAATGAGTGATTACTGTCACTCAAATATTAGAAAATTTACTCCAGGTATTGATAAAATGAAAATTTAAACATTCCGTATTTAGTATGCAAATGTGCATCATCAATTAATTATTAAATTATCATGCAAAGTTCCATTCAAATGTTTCATCCATTAAAAGTTATAATTTTTTTAAAAGCCAGTAATGCTAGGCTGCCCACTGATAACAATAAATTCAACTTAGAACTTATTAAAAAACCAATTATTATAATATAACATATTATGTACACAATATACTTATTAATGTAATTTTAATGTAATTTTATTTGAAATCTTTTGATTATTGTATTGAATTAATAGCTTTTAACTGTATCAAATTTTAATACAAACATTTGATGATTTTAATTTATAATTTTAATTGAAAAGTATTGACCAACATGTTAACTAAAAAAGTTGATATCTTTAATCTTCAATCTTCAATATAATTTAAAATTCGTCTATGAAATTTTATGTTTGAGATTTATGATTTATTTCTAAACTAAATGCATTTGCCTATTATTCTTAATATAAATAAGAAAATTATGTAATTTAGTTCTTATTAGGTGTTAGTATGTTCATTTTTCTTCTGTATATATATATTTTTTTTAATAGTCTAATTAATAGTTTATTTTTTAGGAAATGAATCAAAACGGTTTTAGTACTGGTGAAGAAGATTCACGTGGTCCACTTGACAAAATTTGCTGTTTACAGGAAGACGGATTTCGGTGTCAACGACAAGCTGGAAATGCTTCTTATAGTAAAAAAATTCGCAACACTGTTAGACAACTTAAATTACATTTGGACGCTGTTGTATGTTATAATTTTTAGTTATTATTTAAATGTATACTACTAGTTATTATTGTTTCTTACTGAATAATATATTATTAGGCAAGACATATCTATATTTGTGATCATCACAAGAGTATGATTCAAAGTGCTAGAACACTGAAACCATCTAGTCAAGATGAAGCACCAGAGGTAGATTTTTCACAGCTACAGATGAATACCCTTAGGCGTTATAAAAAACATTTCAAAGTAGTGACTAAACCCAGTCTGAATAAAGCTCAAATGGCAGAGGTAATATTTCATAAATTATATTAATTCATTACAATATGTTTTTTATTAGTTGTTTTTAAAATACTATTGAATCGTTAAATATTGATATTAAGAAATCTACAAAATCAAAATATTCTTTTTTTTATCAATGGCAAAAATATTTTCAAATATTTAAGTTATTCATCACTAAAAATAACTTGACAAATATGCATTTTGTGGATTAGGATTTGTTGGTTAGTCACAAATTATCATACATATTATATAAAAAAATATGTATACTGTATTAGAATATTGATTTATATAGTATATATATATATATATATATCTTGAAATTATTTAACCATCTTAATTTAATGTAATATCTTTTAAGTTTTCATGATTTTATCTAATGTTAAATTACCTAAATCTTTTTAGTTTTATAAAATGTTTAACCACTTATTTTAACATTTAATTTTAATTTTAACTTGAATAATAAATATATTATTTTAAAGATAATCTATTAATTGTGATTTTTTTTTTTAGACATTGTTAAACCATTTCAAGACAATATCAGTGAACGAAAAAGAAGCTCTTACATTCTTCATATATACAATCAAGACTAATGGTAATAAATTAGATCAAAAAAATGGAAATAATAATTCAGATACACCGTCATAGGGTTATTATATATTTTTAATTTGTACAAAATTATTTATTTTTATTTTTCTTATATGTATTTTTATCATTATTCATTAGTATTAAAATGTATTTAGAATGTGTACAAAATATTCAAATAATTAAG